CAAGGCCAGTTTCTGAGATACCATTGTTCAGATTTAATTAGATATAATAAGCATTTATGTGTTTGTGTCCTGAATTAAGCTACTGTGACTACAGTATGATATTAGGCTTTTGTGACATTTGTTCTCTGAAATTTTCTTTAGTCTCTGGTAATGTGCATAAATTGTTATTCTATAATGTAAAAGTTAACACTGCATTGCTCATACAGAGGTTTGATATGTTGCCTATGAATCTAGATCATTTATAGAGGGGGGCATCATTAGTCTCAATAATAGTATAAATAACAATATGAACTCGTGGTGCTCACACTCAGCTTACTGGATGCTAGGCTAATTGCTTCATAGACATCATCTCATATAAACATATTAACACAAGGGGAAGTAATATTATTGTCATTTTCAGACAAGGCAACTGAGTATCAAAGACATTAACTCCTCCAAAGGTACAAAGATTGTAAAAGGAGATCCAGAAAGCAAAACCAATCTGCCAGAACCCATACCTGGGCTTCAGCCAACACATTCTTAAAAGCTGCATGCTGAGTCTCTGCTGGATCCACATCTTCTTAACCCTGATGGTATGTTAGATTCACGTGGTGCCAGCACTCCACCCAAGACCTGTTTCCAGAGATAACACTTTATCACCTGTAGTTTTTAAAGCCCCACAGGTGATCTTAATGTAATTTATGATCTAATGTGATTTAAGATCCTACTGAGATCCTCAGTGATTATAAACCACTGGGTGCTATATTCCAGGAGGTTCCAGGAAAGAGTCTGTGCTCAACCCTTTGGTTATCACTACCAAGTAACTAAGACCTCGCCTGACCCTCACCAGGGTGAGGGAAAGTTTTTAGACACTGCCTCACTACAAATTACCTTAAACTAGAACACTATACATAAGCTTTCCCTTGCAGCCTCCAATGCCTACAAGTGACCCTGCTTGACCCTCTAAACTGAAGACTCACCCCTGCCATGGGTTCTGGTATCAATTTTGTCCTTGGTCAAATAGAACTATTTAAGGAGATTTAATGCTCCAATTCCATGACTCAACATCAAGATATTAGTAACAATAACCATTTATTAAGAGCCTACATGTGCCAAGCAGGGTGTTAAGTGCTTTGCAGTGTGTTAACTCATTTAATCATCACGCTGACTATGCGGTAGATACTCTGATAATACTCATCTTACAGATAAAGAAACTGAATCTTATGGAAATTAAATAACATGCCCTAGGTCACCCTGCTAACTAGCAGAGCCTGGATTTTCATCCAGTTCTGCCTGACTGCAGACCCCATGTTCCTGGTCACTCTCCATACTCACATCTCCACGTACATGCCCCAGAGCATCCTCAGCTCCAGTTGGAAATGTTTCCCTCTCACCACAAATCCTTTCCTCCTGTCCTCTCCCAGCTAATGTCAGTTCCCCACTCCTATCACTTAAATGGAAACTTCTACAACCTCCCTGACACCCATTACCCATGGCAACTTGCTGGTCCCTGTGTTCTTTCCTTGTTACCCTCAGCGGCTCTCGAATCTTCTCTCCTTTTTCATATCCTCAGTTAGTTCTTTCCAAGATTATTTTAGTAAATCCTACAAACAGTTCACCTATCCTAGTCTTATATTTTTCTCCCTAAACCCCACTTTGCTGGTCCTCAGTTTGACCATTTGGTAGGGCAAATCTGGCATCACTTCAAGGCTGAGAATGCTTCAGTGATGAAATGAGTCCCATATGATACAACACTGATTTCCTAGCCAAGTGTCCCTCAAAGTGCAGCTTCAACTTACTTTTTCAAAGTCCTGTCCTCCTGCTCCCTGGCCCCTTCTTCCCATAAACACTGCATACACTTCACTAAAGACGATAAACTGGGGACCCACAAACAGGATCTGGTCCAAAGATACACTGCACTACATTGGTCCCCCCAGTTCTACTGTGTAGGTGAGTGTGTGTATGTGTGTATTAACTGTCACCACCTAAATAATTGGGAGAATTCGTGCAAAAATTCAGATTCTCTTACTTTTCTTGAAACATTACTTCACCAGCTGCCCACAGTCCTCTTCACCCTATGTTGTGCCCCAAACCAACTCACCTCCCACATTTAAGTGACCTGCATGACCTTGTGGCCATTTGAGTTTGTCATCTCTACATTCTGGAAGGCATCTAAGTGCACCGTGTACCTTCATACCTTTGTAACTTTGTTCATGTTTCTTCAGATTGAGTATCCTTTCTCCTCCTGGAGAAGTAACTTTTAAGGAAACCAAAAAAGTATCACCATTCCTGTGAGGTCATAATAAAATCAGTCACCTTTTGCTCAATGATTCCATAAAGCTTTATCTGTATTTCTACTGAAGATGTCCCCAAACTGTTAACAGTAGTTGTATGTCTTCTCCTGGTTAGACTGGGAACACCTTGGAAGCAGACTGTTTTGTCCCGTCCCACAGTGTCTACCATCACGCCTCACCCACGGTCTACACTCTGCAGGCACTGAGGAAAGCCATATAACTACAATTCCCTCTCCTCCATAGTATTGCCCATATGATCAAATAATTACATTTTTTTCAAAACACTTTAAGACTTATAACAAGTTTCTTATGTAGTGATTACTTCACTAATCAGGTCTGCATCTTCACCTAGAGTTTCAAATCTCATACACTGTAAACTTCCTTTTATTTCACTGTATCTTTGAGACTTTATTTCCATTTCTTTTTATACTTTCTATTAAAGTAGAATACCTTCTTAAAAATGGAAGTATAATAGACAGATATTATGTTAGTTTCAGGTGTATAATATAGCGATTCAACAATTACATACATTATAAAATGCTCATCATGCTAAGTGTAGCCACCATCTATCACCATACCAAGTTATTACAATGTAGTTGACTACACTCCCTATGCTGTACTTTTCATCCCCATGATTTATTTATATTATAACTGGAATTTTGTACCTCTTAATCCAAAAAATAAAGTAGAAGAATACTGAACTTTTAAGACTCTAGATCAAGGTTGATAAAGGAGATAGGACATTTCTTATAAGATAAACAGTAGGTAGCATGAAGACCTTGTTACAGGGATGCCCAAAGTAGACATGAGGAAAAGGATTTTACACCCTCTTTTGGAGAAGTAAGAATGAAGGACCACAGATTTCTTGGAAGTGAAATCTGAGAAGAAAAGACCAGATTCTTTTCAGAGCTGCCTCTGTTTTTTGCTAGGACTACCTGCGGACAGCCCCAAGCCCCAGGCAACTGACTATAATGCCTGGTAATATGTGAAAGACTAATAACATTTTGCTGTCTCCATTTATTCTCCTGCTATTAGAACTGAATGTGGAGCAGGTGTGGGCAGGGAAGCAGAAAAATACCTTTGCAAGTTGTGTATTAGCCTGATTGTGGGCTAAACTCATGGGCATCTCTGAGGAACCCCATTCCTTCCCAAAGGTATTCTGGTGGGATGAAGGGAATCTCACAGGAACCAAACAGTCTGCAGTATATCTACAGTCCAAGAAAGAATGCCAGAAATCCCAGACTCAGATTTAAATCTTTGTAATCATTTTCTTTCCTTGTGATCTGATTTCCTCTTAATTAATCAAGACGGATTTTGTCTCTGCACTGTGGACTTCAGTTAACAGTATTAGATACTGTTGAACTCTGAAAACACATCTGACAGATTTCCAGGTGCAGTATTAGATCATCTCCCAAACTGTTTTAATCCTAGGAGGTAAATGACCTACATGATGAAAAACTGACACAGCATTTTTTTTTTCAAAATAGATTTGTCTCCCCATTAGAGGTAATCACCTTTTACATTTTTTTAATGCTCTTAGCCAGCAGTTTTCAATCAGTGTGGTTAGCTGCACGTCAACAATAGAGGAAAGGATAGTTTTAAAATAGTTTTATAGTCCATAAAACTGCTGTATGAAAAAAAAAATCCTATTTGTCTTCCTTTAAGAAATTATTCAATGCTTAGCCCTGAGCATTTTAATCTGGTTTAATACATTTTATAGGTGGTTCTTTTTCTGTCCAAATGGTTTATCCAGTCCTTTAAAACAAAAACAAAAACAAAACTATATTTCAGTCTTTGTTCTAAGAATTGAAAAAGTGCCTTTTTCTGTATGAACCTAAAGACTTGCTAAGGAAGCTGTGTTATTAAAAACAAAAAGTTGGGCAGGGCCTGATTCTGATAACATTCACTTATTTTGTCTTTAAATGGTCTTTTTAAACAACATATTTGATGATTTACAATAATAACCTATGAAATTCAATGTGTGCATAGGCCTTAAAGATTTTTTAAAATAATAGGACCAAAATTTTGACCATCATCTTGTATATTAATATGACTTGTCCATATGATACTTCAAACCTGGAACTAGAAAACCTGGCCCTTGTCTCCCACCTTAACTAGGCCTCAATTTTGTCACCTGGAAAATGAAGATTGAATGAGGTGACTTCTAAGGTCAGTATTGAACAGAGTTGAAGACAAAAGCAAAAGGCAACTTAGAGTGTTTGGTAACTACAATGAAAAGAGGCATAAGCTTTGAATCAGACAGATCTGAGATTGAATCTCAGATATTACTAGCTGTAGGAAGTTAGATTGCTTTGTGCTCAGCTATTGAGTGAGACTAATTAAGAGCTTTATTGAGGGCTGTTGAGGTTTAAATGAAAATGAGCCTATAATGTTCCTAGCACAGTTCGTGTGCATATTTTAAGCTCCTATAAATGGTAGGACCATATTTTAAGATCAACAAAAATGTAAGACTGGGCACATGATCAGATCCAGTAATTTCCACTCTGACACTTGGAGAAGAAAGGGGATGAGCATATCACTGTCCTTCACCAGCAGAGATGTCCCTCTGCTGTGATGAAACAGGAGCTGTCAGGGTTTAAAAAAAGAACACTGTCAGGGGGAAGGCACCACATCTTGGCAAGAAATGCTTAACATAGTTTCCATCGTCACCAAACTCTCTTCTCACCCCACACTCTGCTTCTATTTAAATCCAAAGAACTCTGCTTATCCACACTCATTTTAGCCAGTGCCCAGGCTACCAGCAGAGAAGGGAAGCATGGCTCCGGGAGCAAAGGAAAGAGAGGAGGGGCCAGCCAAGCGTGCCCTCCGGAAGGTACGCACAGCCTCCCTGGTCATTACCTTGGCCCGAGGTTGGCAGCAGTGGGCAAATGAGAACAGCACCAGGCAGGCCCAGGAGCCCATGGGCTGGATGCCAGGAGGGATCCAGGACCCACCCCAAGCTCCTAAACCTGTGATATACCCCACGCCCCACCAGAAATCTCAAAGTGCCCCAAAGTCTCCCTCCCAAAAGCCAGAGGGACATGGAGATGGACAAAGCTCAGAGGGAGCCACTGAGGTCTCTCATATCAAAAGGAAAGAGGTGACCAAAACAATTGTCAGCAAGGCTTGTGAGAGAGGAAGCGACGTGAGCCACCTCAGCCGCAGATACGAGGATGGCGGCTTACCTGAACGCGGTCAGCCCGAGAATGACATTGACCGGATCCTGCACAGCCATGGCTCCCCGACGCGGAGGAGGAAATGTGCCAACATGGTGTCTGAGCTGACCAAAGGCTGGAAGGAGATGGAACAGGATGAGCCCAAGTGGAGGAGTGACAGCATAGACACAGAAGACAGCGGCTATGGAGGGGAGACCGAGGAGAGGCCTGAGCAGGATGGAGAGCAGATGGTCACTGCCAGAATCAAACGCCCCTTACCCTCCCAGTAAGTGAACGCATCCTTCAGTTTCTTGTTCTGCTACTGAGCCCCATCCACCTGTGTGAGCAGGGAAGTGCTATCAAAGTTTAGAGCAAGAATCTCAAAAATTGGGCAGGCAGCGAGGTCCTGTGGGGAAGGCATGTCCCTGGGCCACAAGGGCAGTGCCAATCTCAGACATGTGCTGTTTTGTTTCTCATTTCTGTTTGAACCGAACATTCAGGTTTTAGCCTCAGCAGAAATGAAGCCACCAGAGAAAAGTGTCTGCTTTGGGAACATTTTTACAATCAATTCTATAAAGAGTAACAGATTGGTTTATTTCTCTGCAAACTGCTTGCTGGTAGACTGACTGAGGAAACTTTTCCCTTGTCTCAAATGAGGGGACATAATATCATCAGGAGGGACATCTATCCAAACTGGTGACCCTGTAAACAGGTAGGAGGCTACTTCTAACTGGACAGCAGGCTCTGAAGTCAGACAGACCCAAGTTCAAATTCCAGCTCTGCCCTGACTATAGTTAACAGTGTATTATATACTTGAAAAAGAATAGATGTTAAATGTTCTCACCACAAAACAAAAATCCTGGTTATTTTTCTAAGCCTAATTTCTCCTTTGTAAAATTATGGAAACAGTAATCTTTTGGGTTAAATTGTTGTATTGGTAGAAGTAAATGAGATTAAAGTTGCCAAGTGCATGGCACAGTGCCTGCCACATATAAATATATGTGAAATACATATGAAACCTATTATTATTCATATAAATTCTATTATTTAGAAATTTTTCAACCTTTCAGAAAAGTTTGTCCTGTTTATAAACAAAAGCAGAAACACTATTAAAGCTAGGTAATTAAAATACAACAATCCTAAAACATTTTGATATTAAATACATACACACACAGACTCAAACTGATAGATTTATACTAGTCCCTCACACATTTAGTGTGTGCTATGGGTATTTTAAATGCTTTTTTATTTTAACTCTCATAATTCTATGAAATAGATATTATCCCATTTTAGGGATGAGAGCACTGAAGTCCAGAGGGGAGTTTATCCAGCAAGGGAGGGACAAAGCTGAGGTGTGCCTGGCTCCACATGCAATGTTTTAAAATAAGACACGGTGCTCACATGTTCACATGTGGTGCCTTGAGGATGTGTTCAAAGATATGGATTTATGCTTTATTTACATTAATATAGGAACTCATTTAGAAATACTTATTCTGCCAGAACAAATGGAACTGTCGTCTAAATTCTGGCCTTGTGGATTTGTGTGTGTGTGTGTGAGAGAGTGTGCACTAGAGATGGAATAATAGTACCCAACAGAATAAAGACTGAGGATGGCACAATGAAGATCTTGTCTGCACATTTTGAATTGGCCAGAGGTAGGGAGATGACAGCTGGGACCAGTCTTCAATGCATGTACTCTGGCTATTGTCTAATAAGCACTTTGCATATGCTTATTCATTTATCTTCACAGCTTTCTCATAAATTATTCACATTTGATAGATGGGAACATGATATCAAGAAGTATTAAGGAATTTATATAAGATTGTATAGCTGATGGGATATCAACCCAGAACTCTGGCTCTAGAGCCCAACCTCTTGACCACTACTCTAAACTGTCTCACCTGGAAGTGGGGACTTGATTCAGGACACCTCTCATAGTTCCTAAACCCAGGCATGTACATGGACATCTTAGTGTAATGGAGAGGTGCATAAGTGTTGAATGAGAGACAATTAGATTTGAATCATGGTTACTTTGGCAAATCCTGTCTCTTCATCCTCACCCCAAAAGTGGATACAATAATCCATAGAGTTACCTTGATACTAAGTATGCAAAGATTGGACCCAAAGAAGCTACTGAACAAGTAGTACCCATTATAATGTAGGATGCCAGTTCTGATGATCCCAATCTTTCTAATTGTAGGAGACTGACTCTCAGGGCTGGGGGGTTGGGGAGAGTGAGAATTTTTAAATCTCTTCTCTCCACCTTAGGTTCCTTTCCCTCAGTCTTAGAATCCATGGGGTACCAGAATGTTCTATGTAATAGCAACAGCTCTTAATGTCAGCAGTAATCCTAGCTGGGCTCAAGCTTCACAGAAGCCTAATGGGACTTTTTGCCTGATGGAACTCTCAAATGCTGCTTGAGAAATGAATGTGGCATTATTGAGCAAGCCTATATAAAAGGAGGTTTTATTCACCTATATTAAACTCTAAATACCATTCTTTCCCTGTATCCACCAATACGGAGAAAATTGTGTATCATGATTGTTGAAGTGGAAAAAGAGAATTTTCTTTGTGGCTAAGATGTTCCACGGGAACAAAAACAAGTCAGGTTTGGTAAAAAGTAGAGGTATTTGTTACCAATAGAGTATTGCTAATTGAGGTTTTACCATTGTGAAAATGTTTTCTATTTTATGCTTGATTTAGAAAATATTTAGTCTTTTGATTGTATAGCTATATCACTTGTTTCATCCAGTTCCTTTAGACAAAGGAAATCACACCCTCTTCCATACAGCATGGTGTAATGTGACAATGCCAATCACTCATCCATCCTCTCCTCCAAGTGCTATTCAACAAAAAAGATAATAGTTGAGCATGAGGATGCCATTCTATAGATAAGGGAACTGAAGCATAGAGACATTAAGAAATGTACCCAAGTCATAGAACTAGTAAGTGAAGAAGTCGGGAAGGCTGATGCCAGAGCTTGTACCACTATGCTGCTCTGATCCTCTCAGTAGAGAATACACTCAAGGAATAAAATGGAGATCGAAGTATTTCCATTAATGGGGTGCTTCATTAATGGAATCCCAGTAACACCCAAAATGCAGGGTTTTGGTACAACTGTACTGAAGGACTTTGCTAGAAACAAACAAAAGTATGGCTTTCTATGATTTGCCTCCAATTCTAGAGCTTACAATTCTTTCCATGGTAACAGCAGTTACCAATCTGCCAGGAGAATCCCAGGCCTGGATCTCGAACATGGTTGATAAAAGAACAGGGAGCATAATCGTTGATCAGAGATGTTTACCCTGCCTTTTGAAAGCAGCCACCTGCTTCTTATAAACGTGACCCTGTGGATGTCATGCTCCCATTAATCAAACTGGCTATTTTTCCTGTGGAGAAGAGCAAACCAATGCCCAGAGGAGTGAATTCTCCCCAGTACTCCCCCAAGAAGTTGGAAAGGATGGCAGTGCTTTGCTTTACTGACAGAGAAATGTTCCTAGTCTATGAGAAGAAATGCTTCCTCTAAGGGAGAGTCTATGGGGTAGGAGAGTGATGAGAGCAGATCTTCATTTTCTTCATACAAATACAGACTTAGCCCAGGAGAGGGCGCTCGCAAGGCCCACGACATTGTGAAGCTGGTGGTCCAGGTGAGAAGACCGTATACCAGAAAGAATGCTACCAGGCCTAAAGGACTTGGTCAGGTTTAAAATATATCTTTTAGGACTTTTATTTCCTGTGGGTCTTTTCCATTTTTAATAATTTATCCATGTAATTATCAATCCAAAATGACGAAATCGTGATACAAGTGGTTCCCATGTTCTCATATTGCTGAAGAGCCCATTCATGTTAGAAAGCAGCACTCACACTGATGTCATTTTTAAAGTTGACATATAAGAAAGAAATTTCAGAATTTACTTTGGTGAATGAACCTAGACTTTCGAGGACAGAATGCTTATAATGTATAGTAGAATTAATTACCTTGCACACAATAGGACAGGGGAAGTATTTGTTGACTGGCGGTAAGAACATTTGCTTATTTGTAATGAAATTAAGAAAGTGAGTCTACATTAAATATTACTATGCTAAAATACAGGTGTAATTCCTGTCTTTGTATATTGCTTTGCTTTCTATGAATTTGCATTAGATTGTCTTTTTAAAGCTCAATCTAAACTATCATTCACATTTTTACTTGAAAAAAAAGCACAGGCTAAGCTGGCATATTGATTCTTGTATTCATTGATCAACAAGATACTCAGGGTATAAAACTTTCTAATTCTGACTTAAACCTGATACTTTCAGACTTTTTTAACATTGGAAATACAATACAGAATGTTTATAAGAGAGGAAATTAAGTACTCATTAGAGTATATTTCCTCCTAGTATTTTTTAAAACAACACTATCATCTAGTTCTTGCTTGTAGAACTAATTCCTTTGCTTTCCTTTCTGCTATTACTGGGAATTATAATTTGATAGTAAACAAATGGACATTAAGATTTAGAAGGTGCATTTTTACAAGATAAATGTTTCTCTTCTTCATTGATTTACTACCTTACTACCCTCAAACCTTATCCCAAATGACAGAGTTTCAATACTCAGAAACTTCAAGTTCCTAATTAAAATTATAAAAGAAAAATACACCAAAGAATCAGAGACCCATATAACATATAGTTTAAACAAATTACCTCTGGATGTTCATTTCAGTATCTTCCTATTTTTTGCTTTCTTTAAATTATAAAATATATCAACATAAAAGAATTTTAAAAAATGAAAAGAATCAACCATCATCTGGATACCAACTTCGCTGTTTGCAATTACACATATGCTCTTGATTTCTTCATTCTGGTGCATACACATTTTACACAGTTAGAATTATACCATAAACTCAAATTTTTATTACTCTATTTTCATAAATGCTTATTGTGGTTATTCACTGTTTTATTTTTATTACTGAATATCCAGTAAGTACCTAAAACAGTGTCAGACCACAATTGGTGTCATAAATACTTTAGCAAAGGATGGAGGGAATGTCACAGCACACAGAAGCTCCATAAAGGGAGGATGTGCTGTGGTTCCCGGTTATCCATGGAGGGTACAAGACCCCCTGTGGATGCCTGCAACCATGGACAGTACCAAACCCTATATATACTATATTTTTTCCTATACATACATCTGATAAAGTTTACCTTATAGATTAGGCACAATAGATTAACAACTAATAATAGAATAATTATGACAATATACTGTAATAAAAGTTACATGAATATGGTATCTCAAAATACTGTGCTATAGTCACCCTTCTTAACGTATGAGATGATAAAATGGCTATGTGATGAAGTGAGGTGAATGATGTAGATAGACATTGTTATCAAGCATGAAGCTACAATTGATCTTCTGATGATGGGTCAAGAGGAGGATCATCTGCTGCCGGACTGCAGTTGACTGTGGGTAATTGAAATCTCGATAAGCAAGGGCTACTATACTGCATTATATATTTATAATATAAGGACATAACTGCAGTTGGTGCTCAGGAGACAAAAAGTATGAACTAGTGAGTCCTACAATTCTTTTCACTTTCTTATGAGATGTTTCAAGTCTCTTCTTTATCAGGATCTCCCAGCCTCAAATCTGGTATGAGCTTTGGGTTCTACCAGGATGGCCTTGAGCTTGTTACTGAAGACTATGCCTGTCATGGACTGCCATGGTTCCAAGAATACAAGGTGTTTGCTCTTCTTTGTTAATGAAATCAAGCAACCCATATTCTTGGAGGGTCTGTGGTGAGGCAGGTGATGGTGAGCACCAGCAGGTGAGGGCTTAGAGAAATCCACTCCACTTCAATGCACTGTATTTCCTACCCCTTTTCTAACACATACATGATTTTTTAAAGTTTCAATAATTGTGTATACAATGTTTGTGTGCTGTTTTTTCCCAATTAACTCTGTCATGTACTTTTGTCCATGTGGCTACAAACAAGAGTAGCGTATACGTAGCAGCTTATTCCTAATTTGAATTTTACTGTAATCGTGGAACAAGGCGGCAAGCGTGGGGCTTTGAGCAGCACGAAGTGCGGGAATTAAGGGAAGTTCGCCATCTAGTGGATGTCGTCCCTCTTTTGAAAACAAGGCTCATACAAGTACGCAGGCTTCCCTGTCCATATCTGCTGGTCTCCTGAATTTGGATACATATTTCAGGAAGTGATTTTGGATAGTGAGCCATACCCACAACTGACCCGTTTCTGAGTTTTGAATGGTGAATTGTGAGAGTTTGTGTAGGAGTGGCTATTTCATTCTGGCACGCCATTCACATGAGCAATTTCAGCATAGCTCTAACACTCCAGTCCCAATGCTGTTGGGGGTGGGGAGGGGAAGGGTGGTTACTTGTGTGGATGAGGAATACAGACCTCTGTCTTTTAGACAGTCTAAGAGTTTAAGAGTTTATGTTTTCCTCATGAAGGCCAAGAGACCTAGGAAAAAGAGTCTAGGAGACTGGAGGTACAGAAATGACAGGGAAGCTTTTGAACGACAAATTTTGTCCATTTTAAAATTAGGCCTGCACCCTCATGTCACTGCTGGTCTACATTTAACAATGCTATTAAGGGAAGATGCCCACATTTGAAAGATCACTCAACATTTACTGGACACTGTTCCACATGCTTGCTAAGTGGCCCTATTGCACAGGAAGAAGAGTATTGACTTCAGCTTTAGTTTGTGTCTGAAACTTACCTCGGCCACTGTTGTAGGGCAGTATTTCACAGAACGTTTATACAAGCTCCGGAACCAGCTTAAGTTTGGTTCAAATATCAGTTCTATCATTTAACAGTTTTGCGACTTTAAGCAAGTTACTTAACCCCTCTGGCCTCAGTTTCTCAGTCTGTAAAGTGAGAATAGTATTAACTATTTCACAGAATCCTTGTGGGAATATTAATGAGAAGTACTTAAAAGAATGCTAGCACATCACATCCAATAGACGTTACCACTGCTAGCTAGTGTCTTCCATCTATACAACTTGATATTTCAAAATTTGTGGTGTATCAATACTAGTATAGATAACACACATTAAAAACCCACATATGAAAATCTATACATGAGTGAATATTACAATGTGTGTGTGCTGATATAAGCCTTATTTTGGGGGAAATAATTGGCTTCTGGACTCTTATTCAAAGTAGATTCCCTTATTATGCTCATAGGATTCCAGTTCTAAAATGTTATTAACATGCATCTTTAAGATACAAATATTCATGTTACATTTGTGTAAGGAAGCTTTTTTTTCTTGAGCTTAATATCATTATTTTATGATGCTTAATACATTATTGTATTAATGGAGAAAATAATCTTAAGGACATACACCAAACTGAGAACAACAGTGGGACTGTGTATGATTTTTCTTCTTTCATTTCTAATTTTTTTGTATTTGTTTTTATAATAAAAAATTAAAGACTTACATTAAGATGCATATGCGCAGGAGGCATAAAAAGAAAGCAACACTTGAATGTTAAAATATCAACATCTTCATTCTTCATCCTCTCTCTTCTTCAGAGCACATAGATTTACAGAGAAACTCAGCTGCAAGGCCCAACAAAAATACAGCCAAGTGGGCAACCTGAAAGGGAGATGGCAACAGTGGGCTGATGAACACATGCAATCCCAGAAACTCAATCCTTTCAGTGAAGAATTTGATTATGAGTTGGCCATGTCTACTCGCCTACACAAGGGAGATGAAGGCTATGGCCGTCCCAAGGAGGGAACCAAAACTGCTGAAAGGGCCAAGCGAGCGGAGGAGCACATCTACAGAGAAATCATGGACATGTGCTTCATTATCCGCACAATGGCTCGCCGCAGACGAGATGGCAAGATCCAGGTTACATTTGGAGATCTCTTTGACAGATATGTTCATATTTCAGATAAAGTAGTGGGTATCCTCATGCGCGCCAGGAAACACGGATTGGTGGACTTTGAAGGAGAAATGTTGTGGCAAGGCCGAGATGACCATGTTGTGATCACACTACTCAAGTGAACCTTTAGCAACAAAATCCAGACTTCACCCAGTATTGTCTTAATGCTGAATGTTGATATAGTAAAAATTGAAATGCAAACTGCTCTGTAATATTTATAAATATTAAATAATTTTTACATAAATGACTTTTTGGCACTCTACTTTTGAGGAAATTAAAAAATTTTTAAAGTACACACTGAGAAGTTCAGAAAGCACCTAGAATGTTATTAGTATCCAACAATAGTATAAATATTTGAAATTCCACTTATCCTTTTAGGCAAAAATATTTGGCTAATCATCACAGAAATTATTATACATCTTCAATTAAGCAATTATTCCATTTAAGAATGCTGACTTTAGGTAAATATCAGAACAGACTGACATTTTAAGAGGCAAAGAATTCCATCAAGTTTGGGAAAACTAAATTTTTCTAAGAAGATTGATTTTGCACTATTTATTATTATTTTTATTATGGCATCACAAAATAGGTACATAAATTAATTTTTTCAAATAAGATGTTTCTTTTTCAAATTGCTGAAATTTCTCTGTGGGCTTGGAATTTAACAAATTTCCAATAGGTGTTAGCTGTCCTCCTTCTGTGTGATTTGCACAAATCGCATAAAAATAGACTGCTGGTGGTCTTAAAGCCAACAGAAGGCAGTTGTATATATACAGGTGAGAGATTCAGATCTACCTGCCTTGTAGGATTTCTTGGAGAAGTTTTTTTTCTCAAAACCTTAGTGAGTTACGCTGTTTACATTTATGTCAATATACAATGAAGTAGAAATACAGAAAATTCTATGATGAAGTGGAATGTTCAGGGTAGAAGAATCTGATAGAATCATTGGTAAATTAAAAACAGAGCTGAGACATTTTAACTTTCTTAAAGCTCCAACAAACTTTAAAAATTATCTGAAAGTCAAAAAACAGCAATATTAGTCCTGTCAAAGTGAAAAAAGTAGTTTAATTGACAAATTTATTTGACACCATTCTGTTGTCATTTTTTCTCAATTAGATTTAACATTTTATAGAATTCTAAAAACAATAAAACATGAGATTATAATCCCTACCAAATTCAGTGAAAGTTACTGACATTATAGCTCATTGATGTAACAGAAATTAGTGTCAAATTCTGACACCTCAAAATAATAGACACTCATAATTGTTAGGGGTTGGGTTTAATAAAGTATGGATTAAACTACTGTAGCAATAATTTTTCTTTTCATGTGATTCTCTTTCACACTGGAAGTTCCAGTATCTTCTTTACGTGTGTACTCTTTCATTTCCATATAGATTTATTAAATTATAAATGACCAATATTTCTAAGTATAATTTTATATAAGACATACACTTCTATAAGAAGTCCAACCTACATCAAAATGTAAAGAAATGGCACAGGAAAAAAAGGCATTTTCTTGCATTTTCTGTTGTTTTTATACTACTTTAGGTTATAATATTCCATTATACCACTTTCTTGTGTTTGAAATAGAATAAAATCATAGAGTGCAACTTGGATTATTTCTAATAGTAGAAGATTATTTAGGCCAAGGCTTTAAAAGAGTTCCTTTATATTCAACTCTGGACAGTAAGTTTATGCAAACAGTGATGGAGATTGTTCAAAGCTCAATTTGTTTGAATGAGAATAGGTTAAAAAGTCTTCTCAGAGAGCTTATAGTAAAGGTGTGGCTGTAAAGTTAGAAAGCTGGTTTCCTTACAGGAAAAATTCCTGCCAAGTGCGAGATTTTTATCCTAAAAACACAAAGACAGGAATATCCATAGTTGAAAACATGAGGACTTTTAGACAAAAAAGGGTAAGTAGAACTCAGGTGGCAGAAGTTCTTACCGGTATTTTGTCGCCAAAATAATATATGAAATACACTATCAATAGCATTTTACTATTGATAATTCTAAAATCCCAATAACAGGCAGTGTACAATTGGCTTCCAAATCTTCAGTTTTCCTTTTGCAAACGTTCAATGATATTTACTTCCTGGGCTACTGAAGGCTCTTGAAATACCCTTGTTGTTTTTACCCTTTCTGTATGGACCTCAAATGTATGAGGGCTCACCTTTTGTAACAAGTTTTATGACTTCCTGATTCCCAAGCTCACCTCACCTTCCTGCCCACTTAGACCAACAGGAAGGAAGTTCTGTGCTCTGGCTTTCTTCCTTCCTATACTGTGCTGGAACGAGGCTGCACCTGTTGTCTTTGTTCGCCTTCTGCTTCTTCCTTTCCTTTCCCTTCCAAAACTCAAGTGCCTTTTTTTTTTAATACTACCAACAGGAATATAAGATGCCATTTCTCACATGATTTGGGAATAATTCTGCATAAACTACAATTTTTTGTCAGTGAGAACTGATGCTCAGGGAAGTATTTCTGTGCTTTTTCACTAAGTCACTGTGTTCAGGGAGTTTAAGAGGAGCAGGAGAGTCATGGCCCATGCTGAAGTGGCTTCTGAAATGCAGATGCCTCCTTAGGATTCCTAGAATATTCATTTTTATTTCCAGTACCTAGGACATTTCTTAGTATACAGTAAGGATATGGTTAATGTCCTTTGAATTATTTAATTTATAAATAATGAGATAACCTCTTAGCCTAGAAGTTTTAGAGTGCCATGGTTCACTCACTACCATCCCAGTGAGAGTTACCTGATAACATTATGTGCCCAGAGTTAGGGTCATGCAAGTGAATGACATTGTTTTTTACTTTACACCAAGGAACTGCACTAAGATTTCTCTTAAAGATAAAACTCAAATATGAAAATACATATGCATAATGCATTGTACATTATTTTTAATTGCAAAATACTGCAAAAAAAACATATGGGAAAATGATCAAATAAAGTATGATACAGCCACACAATGCATGCATCTCTAAAAAAAAGTATGCAGTCTTTAAGAACTTAAATGGAGTTATTTCTAGTGTGTATGTTATCTGCATTTTGAAAACAGAAGATAATAATGAAGTTGACTTCTGTAGGGATGGGTGGAAATGGTTTGAAAGAGAAATCTGCAGTTTTGACTTTGGAATACTTTAACTATCTTACACATACAAGAAGTAAAAGTAAATTAACAAAGACAGAAGAAAGCTAAAATTGAATGCAAACAAAGTAATGAACTGAATTCTATTTCATATGATTAAAATAACCACACAGGAAGAAAAAAGAAATACACATAACTTTTGAATACAATACTTAGATTAAAATACCATCAAGTAAAGACAAAAAAGAACTGCAAAGGAATATTAAACTCTACTTAATTTTGTTGTGAGCAGGAGAGCATGAGCATTACAATTCTGAAACTGTAATGTGTTGTCTGATTAAGCAAATATAGTGATATCCTTACTGTGGGAGAGCAGACACAAACATGGTTTGGAGGAAGAATTCTGTAACATTAGATTGTTATTAGAGGTTATCAGTGTGCACACATGATTTATTTACTTTCGATCTGTCTCCTGAAAAGCCCTACTAGTAGTGCCACTCCAGTAGCAATAAGCACATCTAACATCCAGATTTCCAAATACTTCTTAAAAGAAGGTACTTCTAGAAGTTGCTGATTCTAGGACTGGGTTACAGAATGTCTACAGCATTTTTTTTGCACCAGAGGCAACCAATCCAGGACCTTCTGTTAATGTAGCTTTTTTCTCTTTTATCTCCTTTAGCCTGGAAGAGTTCATTTTTCTTTGTGTTTTATGACAGTGACATGGTTGAAGAGTTTAGGATTGTAGAATATCTTTCAATGTGGATATCTGAATTTTTCCTATTCTTAAATTTAGGTTATGCTTTTTTGACAGGATAACCAGGGAAGTGATGTGTATTCTGCATCATATCAAGATGCATATAAAGTATGTTTATCCCCTTATTGGTGTTATTAACTTTGATTAGTAGATCATATTAGTCTCCCATGTTTCTCCACAGTTATCATTTTTCTCTTTGTAATTAATAAGCAATGTGTAGGGGGTCCTGGATTGGATCATAGATCAGGGAAAACAATTCTTTAAAGGTTAGGGCCATTGGCAAAATTTAAGAATTGATTGTGTATTAAGTAAGACTGTATTATGTTAAATTCCTTGAATTTGATTACTACATTGTAGTTATATAAAAGAATACCTTGTTCTTAGGACATACATGCAAATATTTATATGTGCAGTGTATTCGACTCAGTAAAATAATAGGGGCATGTGTGTGGAGAGAAGGAGGGTGGAAGATAAGAAGCTAAGCTGGAAAGCATACAGTTCTAAACATTTTAGTACCTATCTCTTGGAAAACAAATACACACATTACTGTTGGGTACATATCAAGAAATTAAATTTGCTGGTTAAAGGCTTAGCTTTAATAGATACTGCCAAAAAAGTTTTCCAAAGTTGTTTAACTTTATAGTACTTTGAAAATAGCACTTACTAGCTGTTTTGATACTCTTAGGAATTCTTTTGCCTTTATTGAATTTTTTGATTTGTAGTCATTTATATATTATGTGTATGAGGCCTTCATTAGATATATTAGAAAAATCTTCTACACTCTTGGTTGCCTTTTCCCTTTTAATGATGTCTTTTGAAAAATAGCTCTTCAAATTTAGTGTAATACAATTTATCATTTTTTCCCCCTTTATGGTGTTTTTGTGTCCCATTTAAGAAACACATGTATCTTCAGGTCATGAAGACATTATGATTATGGAATTTTTTTTCTATAAATGCAGTAAATGGCACCAATTTTAAAACAGCTAACTACTCTTGCTTTCCTGGAATAAACCCAATTTGGTTATACTGCTCTTTTTAGGTTTAGTTGAATTTGATTTGTGATTCTATGTAGAATTTTGTATCTATGTTCATATGAGACAGCTCTGTCATTTTTTGTAAGAATTGTAAACTTTGGGTATCAAGGTTGTGCTACCCTCCTAAAGCAATGTCAGTATTTCTCCCTTTACTGAGTAATCTTCAAGAATTCATCCAAGATTGATACTTTTTTCCCTTAAATATTTAAAAGAATTACCCACTGGAATCATATGGGCTTTGGGTTTTTTGTGGAAAGCCTTTTTCTTTTACTTAACAGATTCAATTTCTGTAAGACAAAAAGTGTATTTCTTCTTAGATCAGGTTTAGTAATATGCTTTCCAAAAATATTTTTCCATTTCACCTATACTGTCAA